AAATAACTGAAAAGACATAGAGATAATTCAAAATAATAGTTGGAGATTTTGATATTCCAATAATAGAACATAGAAAGACAGCAAGAATATAGACTTGAACACCACCATCAACCAATGTGATCTGACATCTACAGAGCATTCCACGCAACGGCAGCAGAATACATATTCTTTTCAAGTACACACCTAACACTCTCCAGGATAGACCACGTGCTGGGTCACAGAAGAAGTCTCAAATTTGAAAGGAATGAAATCATACAGATACGTTAATTGACCAAAACATAATTAAATTAGAAATCAACAAAAGAAAGGTATTTTCGAAATCTAATATTTGGAAATTAAGCAACATACTTTTAATGAGTCATAAGGAAAATTTAAAGACAGTTTGAACGAAATGAAAATGAAAATACAGCATATCAAAATATGTGGGATGCAGTTCAAGTGGTGCTTAGAGGAAAAGTTATAACTTTAAATCCTACATTAGAATAAAAGAAACATCAGATAATCTAAGCTTCTACCTTAAGAAACTTAAAAAAAAAAAAAAAGTAAATTAAACCTTACATAAGCAAAAGGGCAGAAATCATAAAGATTAGAGCACAAATCAATGAAATAGGAAACAGGAAAACAATAGATAATATCAGTAAAACCAAAAGCTGATTCTTCGAAAAGATCAATAAAATAGATAAGACTTTACCTAGAATGAGCAAGAAAAAAAGAGGAGACACAGATTACCAAAGTAAAGAATGAAAAAAGGGCATCATTACTAATCCTGCAGAAATTAAATATAAAGGACTACAATATTAGAAACAAATTTAAACAAACGTTATAGATGAACAATTCTTAGAAAGATACAAACTATCAAAACTGATTTAAAAAGAAATGTAAAAACTGAACAGACCTCTTACTTTTTTTAATGCATTCGTAATTAAAATCTTCATATAAAGAAGAACACAGGCTCGTGTGTCTTTACTGGTAAATAGTTTTGCAAAGAAATAATGTGAATCCTACACAGACTCTTTCAGAAACTAGAGTAGGAGAAAGGAATGCTACCCAGCAAATTCATGGAGGCCTGTATGACCTTGATAACAAAACCAGACAAAGACATCACAGGAAAAGAACAGACTGGTATCTCTCATGAATAGAGACACAAAAAAATTCTTCACAAAATATTAACAAAGTGACACCAGCAGTGTATAGAAAGGATTATACACCATAACCAAGTCAGATTTATCCCAGGAATAGAAAATTAGTTTAATATCCAAAACTAAAACAGCATAATAATGTCATATTAGAATAAAGGACAAACCACATGATCATTTTAATAGACCAAGAATCAACAAACCACAACCCACAGGCCAAATCCTGCCTGCCACCTATTTTTGTAAATACAGCTTTCTTGGAACACAGCTACACCCACTTATTTATGTATTCTCTGTGTCTGCTTTCACATGACAGTAGCAGAGTTAGGTAGTTGTGTCAAAGATCATATGGCTCACAAAGCCTAAAGTGTTTATTACTGGGCCTTTTATAGAAAATGTTTGCTGACCCCCACAATACACACAGACAAAACCTAACATCTGTTCATGATAAAAAATTCTCACAAAACTAGGAATATAAGGTAACTTCTTCACCTGACAGTGGGCACCTGGAAAAAACCTACAGCTGATGTCACACATAATGATGAAAGACAAAATTATTTTTCCACTAATCAGGAACAAAACAAGAATGTCCGCTCCCAGCACATCTACTCAGCATTGTGCTTGAGGCCCTAGAAGGGCATACAACAAGATAAACAAATCAAATGCATACAGATTAAAAAACGAATAAGTAGGCCGGGCGCAGTGGCTCACGCCTATAATCCCAGCACTTTGGGAGGCCAAGGCAGGCAGGTGACGAGGTCAGGAGTTCGAGACCAGCCTGACCAACATGGTGAAATTTTAGTCTCTACTAAAACTATAAAAATTAGCAAGTCGTGGTGGCATGTACCTGTAATCCCAGCTACTCAGGAAGGTGAGACAGGAAAATAGCTTGAATCCAGA